AAAAAAAAAAAAAAAAAAAGGCCCAGCTAGGCCCACACTAGCACTGTGGCCCATGTCTGTAATCCCAGCACTTTACAGGCTTAGGCAGGAGGATCTCAAGTTCAAGTCTAACCTGAGCTGCCATGGTAAGACTCTATCAAATTTAAAAAAAAAAGAAAAGAAAAAAGGCCTAGATAGTTCTCTATCCAAGAGCAAACACATGTTATGCCCATGTGCCCATGAGAGGTCTCATCTTACTGGGCATGGTGGTACACAATTGTAATCCCAGTCTCACAGATAAGGTTCTTATTTCTAATTAACCACCAAAAAGCCAGAAGTAGAGCTGTGACTAAAGTGGAAGAGCACTAGGAGCTGAGACTGCCCTAAGTTCAAGCCCCAGTACTGGCACCAGAAACAAACAAAACCAAGGGCTGGGAAGGTGGCTCAGTGGTAGAGCGCTTGCTTTGCATGCATGAGGCCCTGGGTTGGATTCCTCAGCACCACATAAGCAGAAAAAAAAAAAGCCAGAAGTGGTTCTGTGGCTCAAGTGGTAGGGCGCTAGCCTTGAGCTGAAGAGCTGAGGGACAGCGCCCAGGCCCAGAGTTCAGGCCCACGACCAGACCAAAAAAAAAACCATACAGGAGATTTTATAGTATATTTGTAAACTAGGAATGACTGTAAAGGACAATCCAATGATGCAAGAAAGAGAAAGAATGACTGGGGGCTGGGAAGGTAGCTCAGTGGTAGAGTGTTTGCCTAGCATGCATGAAGCTCTGGATTAGATTCCTCAGTACCACATACACAGAAAAAGCACTGTGGCTCAAGTGGTAGAGTGCTAGCTGTGAGCACAGAGAGACTCGGGGACATTGCCCAGGCCCTGAGTTGAAGCCCCAGGATTGGCAAAAAAAAAGACATGAAAACAATCTGGAGGGCTGGGAAGGTGCCTCAGTGGTAGAATGCTTGCCTTGCATGCATGAGGCCCTAGGTTCGATTCCTCAGCACCACATAAGCAGAAAAAGCCAGAAGTGGGGCTGAGGCTCAAGTGGTAGAGCACTCATCTTGAGCTGGAGAGCTCAGGGACAGCACCCAGGCCCAGAGTTCAGGCCCCGTGACCGACCAAAAAAAAAAAAGGAATAAAAAGAATGACTGTAGAAGAGAAGTTCTTTAAGTAGGTGGGACAGGCTAGAGTCTATCCAGGTAGTAATGGAGGAGCAGGACTCAGAAGGAGAGCTACATTATTCATTGGAACAGGATGGAAGACAGAAAATGTGCTGATCAGGTGGTAGATTTGGGGGTAGGGGAAGCATTTAGATGTTTCCTGATTGCCCTTATTTGCTCAGTGATTAACTGTCAGTGACAGGAAATGTGAAAGAAAGAGAGACATTGTGAATTGATCACTGAAAGAGCTGGTAAATGAGTCAACAGGGCATTGTCAAGGGTCCCTTTGGAGTTTGTGGCTATAGATTTTAAAAGTGAGAAAGTCAACACAGCTGCAAATCTTTTGCCGGACAGATTCAGCCATCCAAGTGCCAGGCACAGATGATGAATCTAACCAGTACGTTAATGTAAGCTAAATGTTGGATTTCACCAGGATTGGGCTTCTGTTAGACAATCAGGACACAGGGACAGAATCAAGGGGTTTGAGGGAGTCATTCTAATGAAGAGTTTTAGAAAAAACTAAGAAGATAAATGAAAAGATGAAGGATGATGATGAAAAATGAAAAGTTACAAATCAAGAGCTTGAAGGCTGGGCATGGTGGTGCATATCTATAATCCCTAGCACACAGGAAGCTGAGGTTGGCAGATCTCCAGTTGAAGGACAGACTGGTCTAGGGCTTCCTTGCTAGATGGGTGTTCTACCACTTGAGTCATGTTTCCAATCCTGCTTTCTGTTGCTTATTTGTGTGTGTGTGTGTGTGTGTGTGTGTGTGTGTGTGTGTGTACATACCAGGGCTTGAACTCAGGACCTGGGGGCTATCACAGAGCTTTTATTTTTATTTTATTTTATTTTTTGGGTCTGGTTGTGGGGCCTGAACTCTGGGTCTGGGCGCTGTCCCTCAGCTCAAGACTAGTGCTCTACCACTTGAGCCACAGTGCCATTTCCGGCTGCTTATGTGGTGCTGAGGAATCGAACCCAGGGCTTCTGGCTTGCAAGGTAAGCCCTCTACCACTGAGCCACCTTCCCAGCCCCTATCACAGAGCTTTTAGACCCAAGGTTGGTGCTTTACCACTTCAGTCAAAGCTCCACTTCCAGCTTCTTGGTGGTTAATTGGAGACAAGAGTCTCACAAACTTTCCTGCCCAGGCTGGCTTCAAACTGTGATTCTCAGCTGATAGAAAATAATTTAAGCTAAAAGCACTCATCTTCTCCCTAACAGCAATTCCCTTGAACTATCCTTGTTTCCCACTCCACTGAATCATCTCCTCTCCCCTTCCTCCTGAACAAATGCACTGGCAGCCTTGGAAGAGAGACTGAAATCAAGGCCACATCTGTCACTGATGCCCCTAGCAGCACAGATACTTCTGAGACCTTGAAACTCGTCAGAAAAATAACATTGCTAGCCCAGCACTGGTAGCTCACGCCTGTAATCCTAGCTATTCAGAAGGCTGAGATCTGAGGATTGCAATTCAAAGCCAGCCCAGGCAGGAAAGTCCATGAGACTCTTATCTCCAATTAGCCACCAGAAAACCAGAAGTGGTGCTGTGGCTCAAGCAGTAGAGTGCTCGCCTTGAGCTGAACAGTGCAGGGACAGCACGCAAGCCCAGAGTTCAAGTCCCACGACCAACAAAAAATAAAAAATAACATTGTTTTCCCACCCCAGTCCGTCTCGCCCCACTTCCATCTGCCCCACCTGACTTCATTTTTTTCTAATATTTTCAGGGACCCTAGTTGTAAGGGGGTGCTCCATTTACCCTTTATTCAGGCTCCAGAAGACTTGGCTAACCTTCCCAGGTTTTGTTTTCTTCCTGAATAAAACCTGTTGGAGGGGCTGGGAAGGTGACAGTGATAGAGTGCTTGCTTTGCATGCATGAGGCCCTGGGTTCCATTCCTCAGCACCACATAAACAGAAAAAGCCGTAAGTGGCTCAAGTGGTAGAGCGCTAGCCTTGAGCTGAAGAGCTGAGGGACAGCGCCCAGGCCCAGAGTTCAGGCCCCACAAACGGACCCCCCCCCAAAAAAAAGAAGTGGTGTAAGAATTGAAAGGCTAGGTGAGACACAGATTGGATACTGTGACTACTGAAAATAATGACAAACACAATGATGAGAAACAAAAACAATACCCCAGGAGCTGGAAAACTAGAGGCACTACAGATAAAGCAGGAAAGCAGACAAGTAGATGAGCTACCAAGGGGCTGGGGGCTCCTGAGGGAAAAAAAAGAACCTAAGATCTGGGAGAAGACAAAGGAGGAGGAGGAGGAGGGAGGGAGAGAGAGAGGGAGGGGAGGAGGAAGAGCAGTAGGAGGAGGAAGAGGAGGAGGAGGAGGAGAAGGAGGAGGAG